AGAGGACTACAAATCTCAGCAGTACTTTATACAGAAATGCTATTGTTATATAAAGTATTGCTGGGATGTGTAGTCCTCTATAGCCTGTGCCATTCTGCATTGCTGTAAAAATTAGGGATGCACCGATATATCGGCCGCCAAAAGATATCGGCCGGAAATGGCACTTATGGCTAAATGCCGAAAGTGCCATTTTTCTGCTGATACATCAGCGCATCCCTGCTCTCTTTCCTCCCTGCTGGGCGTTGCTCTGTGTCCCAGCGGGGTGGAGAGAAAGTGACAGCCGTCCGAGCACAGCGGGAGGAGAGCGCTGTGTTTGTGGGGGGGTTTTTTGGGGGGGGGGGGCAAAAAAAATCTTGCACCAGGGCCCTTTGTTCCTTAGGTCTGCCACTGGCAAACACCCGGTGCTGCAAGACAGAAATGTTAACCTCTACGCCACTGTGTGTATTAATATCCCTATGGCAGAAATGTGGTAAGTTGCGCTGGCCATTTGATTGTGTTTGTGAGCTGGTTGAGGTTGATATAAAATTGCTCTTAGTGTAGCCAGCATGCAGGCACAATACTTGGAGTTATATTTTTGTTATGGAGTCAGATGAGTACTGGAGGCAATACGGAATGGAAGACAACACTTGGATTGGTGGATCAGATTTACTCTTCAGCGAATAGCTCTAATAAAACCGTGCCCTAAAGCAAACGTATGATTCATATTGGATTCATATTTTTCACAGTACTAATATTTACAACATCACAATACATTATTATGCATGGTATTTACATGTGATTTAATCTCATTTGATCAATGAAGGTATATATTTCTTTTTCTAAGGAACAACATTTTTCATACTGACACAGTACAAAAATAACAAAAATGTCAAATAAAATGATAGTGAGTAGATGGTTTGTTGCCAGTACTCGGTGATCTAGGCTTTGATCTAGGGTACATTTTTATCAATTTCCTTCATTGTTTCAGGTAGATGAGTGATGTAGTTGTTGCTAGGCTCTGCATACTCGGGGTCCTCTCCAGGAAGCTGGAAAACAAGAGGAAGAAGTTAATCTACACGGCCATCAACGCTAACAACAGAAACAGATGCCACCGGGGCAACCTTATTTTCCTAGCCTTTACAACCTAAACAATATACTGTAAGCCTGATATTTTCCAATGAAACGCCATCATAATTTATCCCGCCCAGTGATATTTAGGCAAAGTCCCCAGGCCTTTGCACAAAAAACCTAAACTTACCTTTTTCCTGTCTAGTTCTAGCCAGCCTGGATGCTTCCTTTTTGGAAGAGGTGGATGCGGGCACTCTCCCTGGACTGAGCGGCATTAACATAATGCTGTGTGAGTGCCATTCAGGCCTGGAGTACTGTAAGTCCAGCCTGTATAATGATGCACCCCCAGGGGGTGTGCCGACAGCAAGCTGGACTCACAGTAAATGGACAGAATGACGGAGCTGTTATTCTGGCAGGAGAGAACCAGCGGCACTGCACTCAGGAGTACGCTGGGGACAGCGCTGGAACATGGAGAGATATGCAAATCTTGGACACTTTGTAATACGTAATATGTGGACGGCAAAACTGGAAAAAAACTTGGAGTTATTCTTTAGAGAGACCATGTTGCCAGACCATTTATTTCAGCAAAAAACTTACCCTAAGATTATAGGTGCATTTAATGTATATTATACATGCTATTTACCTGTAAAAGACTCCCCTGTGTAGATATCCAAAAGCCCTGAGACTCCTGCTCCACCAGCAGACTCACAGTTGTCACTCAGCTCACACCTTATAGTGTTCCCCTTTGCTCTACTCCCAGCAGCTACATAAAAGGTTATGAAGAGAGCTGATGGGAGGGTGAAGGAGCTGGGCCAGCACATAGAGTAGTTAGACACTCCCAGAAGAAGGAGAGGGCTATGACAAGTAAGTAAAAAGGGGGCAGTGCTAGAGAATTGACTCTTCCTGGAGTACTTAGGTACAATTTTTTAAGTTTGTGATAGGGTCTTTAAAACTCATCTCTGAGCATTAGGAAAAATACTTCCTTCCCTTCCACACCACCAGCTCCTGTGTATTCACACCATATTATCATATGACAGATCAGTTCCAATTCTTCATACTTCTCTGCCAGCCTGGAAGGTAACATTGTCTATTCCTGATTACATAAGCACTGTCTGTTGGCTTCTGCAGTCATAATGAAGGGGCGATGATCAGACCCAGTAGAAGAACAGTTGAACAGTTGAGACTATCAACAAGTCACTAGTACCAATTGCCAGAAGAGGTGCTGAAGGGTCATGTGACCAAGGACTAAGGTAAGTACTTTCAGAGTTCACAGACTTTTTTTTTTAAAAAGCAGGCGGTAAGAAGTGGGGTGTATTTCTTTATTTTTGCCTAGAGATGGACTTTACAGGAAACCTGTACTGAGAGGAACAGGAAGGCCATTTCTGACCTCCTTCTAACAATGTTAGTTGCCTGGCCTCCTCTGTCTCTGTCTAGAAGCCACTGACCTAGAGCAAGCATGAAAATCACAAAATAGTGAAGTAACAGCCCCTTACATGTATACTTGTTCTAGGTCAGTGACTCAAAATATTCTGAAATCACTGGATCAACATGACATTCAGAAGAAATAAAAAGAGTGAAGTCCCTCTCCCAAACCATACCAGACCCCCAGTTAAAAAAGGTGCGTGAGGTTACCCCTAAGGCCCCATTCACACTAAGCGACATACCTTTAGAAGCGGATCCACGCGGCCGGGATAGCGCGACTGTTCGGGGCAACGTTCAAGCGACGGTAGCGCGACCTTCACCGTCGGACTGCATTAAAAAGTAGAAAAATTGCGCAACATCCCCCGAAAAAAGGGTCCTGCAGGCGCGACTTGCGACCGCGATGAGCGACGGGCAACACGGAGCTGTACATTAAGACAGCTCCATTGAAAATCATAGGCCAGTGACTTCTCGCGATATCGTGCGGCAAAAATGCACGATATCGCGGTGGAAGTCGCGCCTGCAGGACCCGCTCAGTGTGAATGGGGCCTTAGATTCATACCAGGCCCTTTAGGTCTGGGGGAACACCACTGCCAAAAAATGCAAAACAAAATGTGAGGTCCCCCCTAAAATTCCCAACCAGACCCTTAATCCGAGCACTGGCCTGGCAGACCAGGAAAGGGGGGGGGGGAGTTTTTGAATATTAAAAAATCAAATGACCTGAGGACAGTAGCCTGCGGCTACGGCTGACTCCTCCCATTTGTTTACATTCGGCCTGCATCTGTCAGAATGTCATTTTGCGGCAGTTTAACGCTCGTAGACTGGTCAGCGAGCGTCGGAATTTTTTTTTAATTTCCACAATACGTGTTGGCGTGGACATTGCTGGACGAGGTGATTGACCATGGATTACTTTGTTGGATCGTTTTTTTGAATTTTTTGGGGGCGCTTTTTTTTTTCTTCAAAATTTTTATTATTTTCATCACAACATAAAATCACAACATACAACATTGCTCAATAAAACCTAATCACATTTATAACCATAGAGTTATAACTCTTGCCTGACAGTTTTCTTGTTCTCCGTCCTTGTTTATATAGCTGTATATTACTAACCTCAGAATGTTTTACGCATATAGTTTATTTTACGCAATATAGTGTGTTTATTTACATTTTAATTTAACCCTTTAGTGAATGAGTCGGCTAGAACGGCTAAAACCATGAGGTGAGTGAAAAGCACTCACCTCATAGTTCTCCTTAAAGAGAAAAACTGTAAAGATATGCTTTACTGGATAATGTATGTTTATTTGATCTGCATTAATTATTGAAAAAAGTTTGAGAGTGTAATACTACTTTAAAGTGAACAGTTAAACTGAGCGAGCTTTATTATAACAATCATTCAATATGTACTGGCAAACTTTAATTAATTTAAAGTTTAATACATTTGTTGTCATGTTTGGCTTTCATGTTAGCTATGTATGCATTTTGAATGTTACTGTTGCACTGTATTTCTTGGTGGTATTTTACTTCTTTAATACCATAGTGCCATCTAGTGGCAAAGAGAAGATTTGTATTTCTGTCCTACCTACAAGGAAATCCTGTATTACCTTCCACTATGAATAAATGAGGAGGCTCTTTATAAAGAGTTGTGTATAGCCCCTGTTTGGTATTGTTTTCTTCTTTTACAGCATTTTTTTAAAATGTCCAATGGTTTTGTTTATCAGGAATTTGTCAGCTTCCCCTTTTTTGTTCACTACTTGCTAACCACTTTCCATTCGTTTTTAGCCATTGCTGCAGTCTTTTTTTATTAAAACAAGCAGGCAAACGGGCCTACAAAAGTGGCATGTGGAGCAATGGCAATCAGTTGTTAACATGCTGCTTCTTTGTAATTAAAAACAGAAGACACAGCTCGCTAGCTGCACAATCTTCATTACTTTCAACTTGATTTTATTCATCAACAGCGAGAAACTGCAATGGCAGCGAACAGAATACACAACTCATCAAGTGCTTCTGCTATTCTACTATTTAGCTCTGTGGGTTACTGAACTTTTAGTCTTTGTTCGCACCGGTGGCGGAACTACCGCCGGTGCAACTTACATGGGTATTGGCCGTACAAGTGACAGGCCAGGAGGTGGAGGTGGCTGGGCCGTCGCAGCAACGGAGGAGACCGGGGCCTGCACGCTCCAGATTCTCACCTGGGATGTTCCGTGCGGGCCTCCAGTGTCCCCAGGGGGTCTCCACTGTACATGACATGTTTAAAGATGGCTGCCACGAGTAGCGGCGGCCATCTTTAAACCTGGCAAGCGCCCATATCTCATTTAACACATTGCCAAACAGGCAATATATTGAATGAAAATCATTCCCTGGTGGTCCAGTGGAGAAATAGTATGATCTGCATCTCTTGATGATGCAGATCATACTGATCGATCCCTCGTGGTGCCTCTGCTAACAGGCAGGGAGCGATTAGTAGGGTTTGCATCAGCCAGAGTGCAGATCACACTGATCCTTCAATGGACCCAGGGATGCAGCCCCCCTTCCTGCAAAACAGGTAAGCAGGAGAAGGGGACATGTTTTAAATAACTATTTGAATTGTTAATGTGTGTGTTTTATTGTGTGTGATTTTATACCTACTCTGGCGGCCGCCATTACAAATCTTAGAATATCATTTTTTATCTTTTTTTATGGGGCCAGGGAATAATGATAATAGTGCCAATAGGGGGTCTTTTTCTATATTTGATGCTTCCACAGAGCGGTATATTACAAATATCGATTCCCAGAACGGCTGTATTCTCGGGCAACTCCACCAGATATGCAAGAAGGTCCCTTCCTCCACATTGCACCTCCAGCATCTATCAGATTCTGGGCACCTGTACCATCTTGACACTACTTTATAGTTTTTTTCTTGAAAGAATGGGGAGGTAACAGAGCTATGAGCCACAGTGAATATTCTTTCCCATTCTTTCTCTGATATCTCTCTTCTCAGATCTTGTTCCCATAAACTTTGTATGTCCTTTAGCCTCCTCTTCCCTCAGCATGCTGTAAATCACTGACAACATATGCGAGATAGGGGCTTTACTCACGCACAGTTTCTCAAAAGGTGTAAGTGGCCTATTCAGGTTTTACGGGCCCTAAGATATCTTATATAATCTGACAGTTGCATAGCCTCTAGCCATAGTTTCCCATTGTTTTGTTTCTCCGGTCTTAACTCTATTTTCAGCTCTTCTTTCCCTAACTCTAAGACTTGCCAAACTCGTTCCATAGAACTACTCTCCATGTTTAAGAAAGGGGCCACCTGCATATCTGGTGGGAATTGTGGATTGTGAATTGTCAAAGGCCCGGGTCTGGAAGATAGGTTATATTTAGTAATGGACCTGTCCCATACTTGTAACACCGGTCTTACCAAGAAAGGTAGGGTGTGTCCCTTAGGTCTATTCTCTAATAACAACCAAGGAATTTTGCTTAATGGTGAAGAGGATATATCAGTCCCCAATTTTACTCCACTTTTGTTTTGGCTGGCATGTATCCAGTCCAGTAATCTTAGTAGCAAGGCCGCTTTATGATACAATTCAAAGTCCGGGATTCCCAATCCTCCTCTTTGTTTTGGTCTCATCAGTACTTTTGCACTAATCCATGGGGTTTTATTTGCCCACACGAATCTCATTGCAGCCAACTTAAGTTTCTGGAAAAGGGATTTTGGTAACATAATAGGGACTGTCTGAAATCTGTATATGATTTTTTAGGACATTAACTCTGCCCAACCATGACAGACTCAGACAGTTCCATGTATAAAATTGACCGAAAATCCCATCTGAGCAGTCTCTAAAGTTAATGGTATATAGTGAGTCAAGATCTTTAGGAATTTTAATACCCAGATACACAAGATAGTTATATTGCCATCTAAATGAATAGTTTTCCATAATACCTTCTCGTACCCTGTTTGTTAATGATATATTCAGGAATTCTGATTTGGATATGTATTGTTATCAATGGAGAGGTTATAAAAAAGAGTAAGTCGTCTGCATATAATGCCATTTTATGATGTTGTGTTGGGGAAATCATTCCCATGATTGAAGGGTTTTGTCTAATAGTAGCAGCTAGTTGTTCCATCACTATAACATATAATAAGGGAGACAATGGACATCCCTGATGGGTTCCATTAAGAATGGGAAAGGGAGCAGATAGGTCCCCGTTCACCCTTACCTTGGCGGTTGGATGGGTATATAGGGCCATTACCTTAGATACAAATTGCTCTCCCAGTCCTGCTTGTATGAGGGACTCTCTAAGGAATGGCCAACTTACTCTGTCAAATGCTTTTTCAGCATTTTTTTTAACTACTTCCTGCGGGTTCACGTAAATGTATGTCATCCGCTGAAGCCATGTTCTTGGTACCGTGTTAAACAACAGACGATTGCTGTTTAAATACAAGCAATCCGGCGTCTGTACAGGAGCTGGATCGCTTGTACGGTGCAGAGTTGTGTCCCCCTCCTCCACGGCCGCCAGTGCCACCGTCGGCTTCCTGGGCTCATCTGTCCCTCGTGTGAACCCAAGCCGCATGTGGAGGTTCTCCCCTGACAGATCGGAGGAGAGATCAGTGGCTTCTAGCTGCGGATCTCTCCTCCGATAACTGGACCCGGAAGTGATGTGCATTACATCACTACCGGTGTCACAGGACACAGTCTCTGGTTCTTAGGGCCTGTCGGCCCTATATATATATAAATAGCACTTTTGGCTAAGTGCCGAAAGTGCAATTTTCCTGCCGATACAGCGACGCACACCATTGTTTTCAATGGCCCCTGTTTACATCTGAGAATTCGGTCACCTGACGCTGTAAAACTTTTCTGCAGATTTCTGCACATTTGGTGTTATATCGTCAATGGAAATGCCTGTAAATGCACAACACAAGTATTTTTGTAAATCTTTTGAGCATTTGTCACACGTTTGTCGCATAAGAGCCAGCCTTCCGCTTTGCAAAAAAAAACAACTGTGGAACAAAATGGAGAACGCTCAAGAAAAACTTGACAAAGTGTATAATGCTTAAAAAGAACACTGATGCTTAGGTGTGAACAGAGCCTTACTGAAAAATAAATATTAGGAACTAAGTAATATTCACTGAAAATGTTGTTGTCAAATAATTGTAAATGCTAGCTGAAGAAAACCAACAATTATCAAACAAAATTGATTATTATAGTTTCCATCATTAAACAATGACCTTACCTCCCAGTAGACACCATCATCAAAACAGTTCTCATCTGAAGGATCTCCCCAGAATGGTAATTTCAGGAATAATCCTAAAAAATTAAGATATGGAACACTGATAATATGGCCATGATTAATAACAAGAATAACAATATGGAAACAATGCATTATACTGTTTTTAATGCAAAGTCAACAGAACGTTTTACAAAACCAGTGGATTTTTTCAAAGCTGATATTGCACTTAAGTGGGCCCCTTAGTAATAATATCAGTCTAAATAAATACTGCACATTCCTGACATGTCAAAATATACACAACATTATAATTAAACTACCTTTTATCATTAAAAGCAGCCTTTTAAATCTTGTGACTTTACCAAGGCTGAAATTAAGTTATCAGTCTGCGGCAGGTAGGAAAAATTATTTCCTCAATCACCTCAACCCCAGCGATGGGACTGTAACACTTTACTTTTACAGCAAATCACAAGGTGACAGTACGCCGCAGGGAAATGACCTGTGTTGGACATTTGTGAACAGACCCTTTCTGAAAATAGGTTGCTCCAACCGGCAGGGAAACACTTAAGATGCTCCAACCGGCAGGGAAACACTTAAGATGCTCCAACCAGCAGGGTAACACTATCCAAGGTGCAGAGTCTGGTATTTCACTAGGGACCTTAATGGTGGGGTTGTGACTTGTGTGACAAGCACTCCCAGAGGATGGCCTTGCTAGTTGCAATTTGAAGATAGAAAAACTAAACCCAAAGACTTCCACACTATCTGTAATTATATAATACATATTACAATTACTTTGATCTAATATGCAGCTTACACCAAGTGAATGTCTCACTAAGATTTTACCATATTTCTTTTTTTTTGTGCAGTGCTCTCCCCACAAATACCTAAACAATTTGTGTATGCAAATCAATCTGTACTAATAAACATATATTCAAATTATATGAAGATCTTTTAAAAGTGCTGGGTGCATATAAAACGTGTGTAAACAAATGCATGTACCTATGCATATAAAGCGCACATTTCAAGATGAGCCTTGAACATGATGAAGGGCTAGGATTCCCAAAATTGTCTTTATCTTGGTACTTGCTAATGTACCATTTTTCAGTGGAATAAAAGCATTTTGAGCAATTGAGTGTCATGTTTTTTGTACTCTTAGACTGGGCGGTAGAGTGGAATTTGCTTTTGGTAGGCACCCGTGGCTATACATACTCGGGGAACACGTGCAGCTCACTCAATTTGGTATAATGTATAGCTTATGTCAACTTAATTTTCTCTATTTACTATCACACTTCATGTAGTGTTCTCATCCGTTGCTAATAATTATGGTCTAGTTCTACATAGAGACTATTAGGAACTAAAACTGGTGAAATATAAATCCATTGTGTTTCCCTGTCAAAAATGGAAGCGGCAAGCTGCATAACCTAGATCAAAAACAGCCAAGTGTCATATCTAGTGCAAAAGTGTGAGACAGAAGCATAGTCAGGTGAAATAGCCAGAGGTCTTTGTCAAGGGTAACCAAAGTCAAGCATCCAAACAGCCATGTACATTAAGAGGGGTTCAGACAGGTGAATTTCAAGAATGTTTTGCAGTTGTGGACAATTCCAAATACAGAAAAGGGTCATGAGCTAACAAATGGTACAATGTGAGTGTGGCACAAGTCTCTGGCCCAGTCTGGACACATAGTGCCCCATGCTTCCAAGTGGGCATAGCTGGCAATGTCCCTAAAGTTGGACATGATACCGGAGATCATAAAAGCAATTTGGTAATTTTGTGTGATAACTGGAGGCAAAGTTGGAATGAAGGAGAACCTAGCTATGGAAGCTGAAGAGCATAGAGTCCCAGGAAGTATAACTTGTACAGTAGACTGTAAAATGCTAAATCCAAAGAACACATTAGTAATATGACATGGTGCATTCAACTCAAAACCACATTCTGTCTTTCAGGTTGAATTCCTGTATCAGAACCTGACTTCTATAATTGGAAATGGCTTCTTTTGACACACTTGGGTCTCAAGATTCCCCTTCTTCAGTAATGCTGAAAAATTATAGATGGCAGTATTGGCAGCAGATACCCACCTACTAGAGTTCCTCCCACAAAAGCAAAGGCCAAAGACACACATATTCCTGCTGCTTGATATCCTCCTTGTATGCTGGGTGTTCTAGAAGCATATTCATCTTTAAACCTGAAAAGTTCTACCAGACTGAAAAATAGAAAAAAAATAAACATTTAGTGGTTCAGATCAATGACTAGGTTCAAGCAGAACATTTTGAATTTAATAACTTTTACTCATAGCAAAGCATTGAACCAGGTTAGCTATCTGTTGTATGTCTCATGTTTATCAATCTGTCTGCTCCATCCTGTTCCAACGTGCATTGTGTTTATACGCTTGCTGTGGCCATTTAATGGTGTGTGTCTGTTTGCCTCTTGCTGGAACATACTCATATGATGTATGTCCAGCTTCTGTGTTCAATTCCTGTGTTGTTTCCTATGCCTAAGTATTAAGCCTTGCTCTTGTACAGTCCATTTCCACTGCTGGCACCTTATGTTGCAGCGCAAGCTGTTGGGTTGCTTTTGTCTGTGTAGTTGCTCCCTGCACCTTCCAATCTTTTTTCTGTTGTCTGTTATCATCCTGACTTGAGTGTCAATTTGCTTTCCAGGCCAACCACTGCTCATACCTGCTCACGCCTGACTACCTGCTTTGCTATTACACTTTAGTATACAATATTGCCTATGCTTTCCTTTGATCTGATACTTGGAACGTCTAAGACCATTACATCTGAGCAGCAGTCTTCTGCTGGTCCCAGGGCCGTAGATAATTTTTTTTCCTGGGGGGGGGGGGGTTCAGCTCCCTATAAGATTTTATGTAGCAGACACACAAAGGTTTGAAAAAAATATACCGGCAATATCATTCCTAAACCAATCCTTTACCCCGAGCAATACCGATTTTGCTGTTTGACACCATATGGATAAAAACCATGTGGTACCACTTATAATTGGTACCAATTCACACAAACAGCTTAGTATATACTTTATTGGGATTTTGTTTTTACCAAAAACATTTAGCAGAATACATTTTGGCCTAACTTTAGGAAGAAATTTGATTTTATTTGATATTTTGTATAACAAAAAGTTGAAAATATTTTTTCCCCACAATTTTTGGTCTTTTTTCATTTAAACCCCTGGCTGGTCCTGACAGATTAAAACAAAACAACCTTCTGACCCACCACTCACAACCCAGGAAACAGGAACCTAAAAGGACCATACTGATTGGTATTCAAATCCTCTACCTGGACTATAAAAATGTGTATAGGTTACCATATACTACAGACTTTTATTTATGGACTGCTGCAATCAGTAATATTTTAAAGAACAGCATGCTTCTAGCAATGTCCTCACCCAGCCTCTGTGTACACTCCTTCAGTGGCTGCAGCTGCTGTTACTGCTCCGACAATCCCTCCGATTATACCTGGCATTCCATGGAGATTATGGATCCCGCAAGTATCTTGGAGATTTAATTTTGAGGACAAGAGAGGCTGTAAAATTATAATGAAGATATTTATGTTTAAATATATTTATATAAGAATTATATAAATGAAGAATATGTTGCAGTAAACAAATAAGATTTCAGATAATCTCAGAACAAAAAAAATAGACAGATAGTTCACATGACTAGTTTAAAAATCCAAGAGGTATTCATCCCAAAATAGATGTGTACATGGTCAGTATAACACATCTTTGCAGCTACAGTTGCCTGTCAATTGCTCATCTATGGCAGTTCTTATAGTTTCACTTACAGTCTTGCTCATGCAGAAAGACAGATTTCTATCACTGGAGTCTGGATGCACACAACCTTTGGTGTCCAAAGCAATACTTCTGTGATCAGATCCCTCCTTTAACGCCGAACATGTACTAGTCCTATTTTGACTGTTGTAACAATGAGTAAAAATTTATAGGCGATTACTATACTTATACTGTTTAATTCTTCAGGGAACATTGGCCTCTCTGACAGTTTACCATCATTCCTATAGCCCAAAAACATGAAGAGTCATGATCATAAATATTAATATCCAGGAGAGTTGCTAGGATTTTGAAGGACTTGAGGCACACACAGGAGGTGAAGTCAGTGGCGCACTTTGTGCTGCAGCAAATAGTAGCCGTGGTCAAGTCAAGCCTTTACATACACTTCAACCACTGTGATACAAGCAACTGTTTCACAGACACACGTAAACCTTCAAAGGAACATTTTAAAAAACTTGACTCTTTTATTACAAATTATTTTTTGCATACGGAATATTAGCAGAGAGCTATCACTGTGTCTGAGACCATCTTCAAAAAATACTTAATTAAAATTGTTGTGGACAATTTAGCAACTGGCATCTGTTGAGACAATGAATGCTTTGGTCAGGAGTATAATGTACAACCCAGCACACAGAGTGCAACCGGAATACCAGTAACATACAGCCCTGAAAAGACAGTGCAGTTTCCAAGAATAAAAGTAATGTACAGCCCAGAGTACAGGATGCAAAGATTTGGAGTATGTAATATACAGCACAGAGTACAGAGTGTAAGGGCTTGTTCACACCAAGCGCGGAGCAGATGGAGAGCAGAGCAGGTGCAGACCGGATCAAAACTGCGTCCAATGTATTCCTATGGTATTTTGAGCTCCAGTTCACATCGAAGCGTGCAGATCCAGAGCAGGTGAAAAAACTGCGGCAGAAAAGGTGGCAACTAGGGATGCACCGATATATCGGCCGCCGAAACATATTGGCCGAAAATGGCACTTTGGGCTAAATGCCGAAAGTGTCATTTTCCTGCCGATACATTGGCACATCCCTGTTTTCTTTCCTCCCCGCTGGGCGCTGCTCTGTGTCCCAGCATGGAGGAGAGAAACTGTGACGCCTGCCAAGCGCTGTGAGCGGCCGGTGTCGTTCCTCCCACACCGCTCAGCCTCCTATCACAATGTTCTCATGTTATGAATGGACAGGAACACTCATGAAGGATTCCTGTTCATTGATAACAGGGACACAGAAAAAGAGATTGAGGACTTTGTGCCCTCAATCTCTTTTTCTATTTTAAAAGGGAAATATCAGGGGTCTGTTTAGAAGCCTAATATTTCCCCAAAGCCCCTAACATTAAGTAAAAATATTTAATAAAAAATGAATTGATAAATAAAAATAAATATAAAAAAATTAAAAAGTTTATTAAAAAATAAATAAAAATAAAAAATTTGAAAAATTTGAAAAAAATAAAATAAAAACATTTTCGGTATCGGTTTCTGCCTGGCAATTTTTTTTATTTCGGTTTCGGTTTTAAAATTTCCATTTCGGTGCACCTCCAGTGGTAACCCTAAACGTACATACATTGTCACGTGTATGTAACACACAGAGTGCAGGTACATACATATTAGACATGTTTTTGAAACTAGTAGATCATGGAGCTACTTTTTAGGGTCAAGACTTCACTTACTGAAAGGTAGGCATATCCAAGTGTAGAAACAATTCCACATATGAATCCAACTATCAGTGATCCATATGGAGTAAGTGCCATTTCTGCAGCTGTCCCAACTGCCACTCCTCCAGCCAGGGTTGCATTCTGAATGTGAACCTGTAAGACCAACTTCCTTTAAGAGCAGCATTGATATACAGTGACAAAATGCAGGATTTATAGGATATATCACAATACAGTGCAGGCTAAATCATACATACACACACCTCTCTTGCATATAAATGTATTGTTATATATGTCCCAGTGTCAGTGCTTTCAAAGATTAGTACAGGTCCACACATTCCATTTATTTGCCCCAGTTTCAATACAGATCAGAATTGCACAACACAACCCAGGGGCATATTGAAATGGTGTGCAACTACCACAAATTTTCAGAAGTATATGCAGCTGAGAACACTGCTTCTTTTACAAGTTAGAAACAAGCTAATAGGTTCTCTTTTTCTGATGAGTAATTCTGTATTTTGCATAGTGTATTTGTTGTGCATTAGTCCTAAAATTATGTACAGCCACATTGAATAGTTTGATGTTACCTCTTTAGGAATGCAGATAATGCTACATTTGTGGCTAGCATAATAGTTTCTGTTCTTGATTTGTCAGCGCAATGCAAGCTTATATGAATACATCAAACTTAGATTTGCATATGCCAAAATCACTGGTCTGTCAGAGGCTTGCATGGGAGTCCTGGGCCTTAAGTTAGTGGTTGCAATATAAAGACACAAGAAAGTGTGTAAGTGTCCTCTCTAAAAAATGCACTCCACCAATTTACCTCATACAAACTAAAAAGCAGTGAGCCAATAACCCCAAGATAATCTGTATACAATTACTCCGAACAAGGAGTGTAATAATGAGGGTTAACTTATAGGCTCAATGCAGCATAGGCAAATTATTTAGGTATTCTTTATTGTTGCATACAAAAGTAAAATAATATCACCCACATGCCATTACCAATTTAAAAGAAGGTGAACAAAGAATCTAGGACTACAGGGCACCACTTCTAGGGAGTAATTGTTAACAGACCAGTATAAAATATAACTGCTTCAGCAAGTCTGGCAAAGTTTATTTATAAAGTAGTATATGCTATATTTCAAAGCAACTTTTTGTATCCAAAACGCACTCTGTAATATATATGTTGCTAATATACTTCAATAGAATTTCTGAACTCTATTTACAGACAAAGTTCTGCTGATTGGTTGGATACTAATTAATGGATTTATTTGTTTAGAATATGTGACATATAGACAAAATTCCAACGAGATACACTTACCATTTCGATTTTACCCTTTTTGCTGACTACACTGGAGATGGCAACAGTCGTGAGAACACAGGAAGCCAGGGAACAATATGTATTAATAGCAGCTCTGTGCTGAGCATCGCCATGATTGGAGACAGCTGAATTAAAGCTGGGCCAGTACATCCACAAAAACAACGTTCCTGTATATACGCAAAAGGGCCGTAGGTTAAAATGTTGCACTTTTTTCTCTTGCATTCCCAACTAAATGTTTATAAAGATAAAGGCATCCATGAGTTGCTCAGTTTAAGTTGGAGTCTTAGCGAGAAGGGATTTCCATCAACCAGTAAACCAAACCACAAGTAACATGTGGGCATTGAGCCGATCATCTTTTTAGAATCTTGTCTTATTCTATTAATCGTAAAACATAATTAATTTGTAGGATAACTAAAATGCATTTGCTGTCTAAATCGGTAGTTGTCAGCATGTTGAGCTGCAAGTAAATCTCCTGTAGTACCTTTGTAACATTTTGTCTAAACCTCCTAAACCTGGGATTTCCCATATTTAAAGATGAATTCTTTCTAAATAAGATACATTTTATATACTTTCTCATGACAGAGTTGCTTAGGGATCTAGACATTAAACAGGGACGGGGTCCCTCTTATATGGCCCATTATTGACCTTTCTCTGATACACCTGGCATTTTGCATTGTAGCTAGTGGCTTATATTGCACAGCTAATAACAGCTCCTTTGAACAACTATGCTTTGTCAGAACACTCCAAATATGAGCCCCCATCCTGGCTGGTGTCCAGTAACTTAAACTGAAAACTCCACACAGTTTCTTCTTTCTGGTCCCTTTGTCAAGCACTGGTGCTCCATAGGGTCTTTTTCGTGGGGGCTGTCTTGAACTATGACCCTTAGGTAGATGGATCTAAGCACATAATGTAGTCCTTGCTTTCCAAAGACAGGTTTGTTTCTCTTTCCATTCAGGGTGGTGGTAAAAAATAAAGTTTTCTAACAAACACTTTGAAGACCCCAACAGAACATCTCTAGACCCATGTCCTATGCCATCGACACGGTTTGCCCTTGCTATAGTTACACCATTGATATTGCCAATTAGCAATATTGGTACATTGAGTGTTGGAAGGAGCCCAGCCGTGCTTGTCTCACTGGCACCTGGAAAGAAAACAAAATGTAATAACTATCTATCTATTTATCTATCTTCGTACATCAAACTTACCAATCATAGCAAAGATATCAGAGCTGTACACTGATCCTTCCTTGTTGTTATTTTGGCTTAATTTTGGACGCTTTAGGATCCAGGCCACTGTCAATCCAAAATATGCCCCAAATGTGTGGATAGTCATAGAACCACCAGCATCAATAACCTGCAGTAGGAATTGTGACTTGTTATTTGCACAGTTGATAAATATTTTAAGGTCCTATTATGATGCTATCCTCAGCTTTAACTTAATGATACAATGACTTCTAAAAGTTTATCCTTGTTGTAAGTGTATTTGTCCCTGCCACTTGTTACACATTTTAGCTACAGTTTTGGTGTTGGAATGTATTTTGACAGAGATATAGACATCAAGATCCAATGTAATTAAGAATTAGTGTTCTTAACTGTGAATATTTTGCAGTTATAATTATTTGAGCTACAAGCTTATTTTCTTATTCAGAGTATTGATGTGATGCAAGAACATGTGTCAGCATTCAACTGACTACTCTTAAATTACACTTAGCATAAATGCAAATGCACCATATGATATAACAAACTTGTAAACAAATGTGTTCTAACCAGTAGCACTTTGATGATGCTTCCCTTGGTGAGTTTTGGATAGAGCTGAGGTGAATTAGAACCTCTGTCGGGTTTTTATTGCTCTCTGTGTTCATACTAAGGAGAGTCACATGTCTTTGTCCTGGTGGCCATTGTTGCAAGAAAGAAAGTGACGGGAAATACAAACTTTTAGGCTGGGTTCACACCTGGGCGTTCCAAATAGGAGCATTTTATGCTCGTTTTTTCAGCACGTTTTTAGCACGTTTCAACACACCTTTTTTGTTCACTGAAACGCGCGTTCGATGCTCGTTTTTTTAACCTCCCTGGCTGACTTTTTAAACTTCCTGCCAGGTCCGCCCCCCTGCGATGCAGATGCTCGCGAGGGACAGAACCCGGAAGACGGCAGCGGCCAGAGGACACAGCGGGGATTACTGCTTTGTTAACCCCGAGCCACAATCGGGAATACCAATGGATACGCGCTGAAATACGCCCCAAAGGAGCTCCTGTACTATTTCGGGCGTAGGGCGTTTTCAGCACGACAAATCGCGCTGAAATACGCCCAGGTGGGCACCATGCCCATAGCACTCAATAGGATTTCACTTGCTAAAACCTTTTTCAGTGCTTCGATCAGCGCTGAAAAATGCCCAGGTGTGAACCCAGCCTAAGAGTTGTCACCAAAAAAAGATTTTGTTTCTATTCTGGTGAAAGGGGGATCCGAATTTCATACAATCCAAAATCTGAATAACGAACTAAATCCGGATCCGAAAAATGAAAGAAATACAAATCTAAATGGATCAGAAACTAAACAAAACACATTTTTTGTGGGGTTACCTGTCTACATGTTTTCATAATCTAAGTTGCATGTGCTGCTACCCCCCTATTTTGTTCCTTTGTATGTGATGGTGGATAGAGGGTTTGCCTGGTTGCTCCATTCTCCATTGAAACTATAGGTGCTTCTCATGCCTTTACTTCATTGCAGCACCTATTTTAGATTCTCAGAGAAAAAATGTTTTTTTTCTCCAGAGATCAGTCTGAAATCTAACATATCTCTATCTAACATTATTATTGGACGTGCAGAGAATAAGGAAGAAAAAGCTGGCCATTAATGCCTTAAAGAAAAAAAATGGTGGCACAGAGGGGTGGACAGATCACTTATACTGGAGAATAAGTCCACCCAGTGAAAAACAAATCTCATCTTTGCTCACTGGATTGTAATTTGTCATATCTCTGTAACCTTATCTCCTTCCCAGGCAACTTTGTCTTTTCTTAATATGGTCAGGACTAAAAAAGAAAGTTTTTTTTCCCTAGGTTTATATGAAATATTGCATAACTATTGTGTTCTCCTTTTGAGTCAGTATTTAACTTTAGTCTCCTTTTCAAATTGCGAATTATTGGTTTACAGAATTCGATAGCTCAGCTTGGTCAATTTTTATTTTAAATTGATGCTACTCATCTGCCCCCCTAAGTAGGGGGGCAGATGAGTAGCAGTGTCTGTCAAGTGTTTTCACCTATAGCATGGTGACACAGTATTTGCAAAAACAATAACTGTTTAATTATACAAATGCATTAAAAAGGAATATATAAAAACAAACGATTTCCATTCATTAGCCAAACAGTGCATTTGTATTGTAAGTTTTCAAGGTCCAACAGCTGATTGCATTTTCCTCAACATGTTTCGTCATAATAAGCTTTCTCAGGAGGATTTAACAATATTCGCTGTAAGGGTTTACATCAGCTGTTCAAATACCTTGAACCATACTTATGGAGAATGGCTCCACTGGAGGGCCATGGAAGAGGCAGTTAACAAAACCAAAACGCATTTGAAGAAAATGCAATCAGCTGTTGGACCTTGAAAACCCAGAATAAAAATGAACTGTTTGGCTAACAAATGGAAATCGTTTGTTTTTTTATATAGTCCCTTTTTAATGCATTTGTATAAATAAAAAGTTGTTTTTAACTACTCAAATGTGTTTGTGAAGGTCTATAAATAGGCGAGAATAGCCTCCATTTTGGTCTGCTATAACCAAATGTGGTTAAAAAAAAAACAAGCTTTTTTTATTCTGATCTGACATTGTCAGCTGAACATTAGAAAACAGTAACATTTTCCTGCAGGAGAAAACAACGTTTTGGCACTCAGCTGTCCTACTGTTTAACCTACTTGAGGGAAGGTAAGGAGGATTGGTAATTGGCAAATGGTTTAACTATATTGGTGCTTTGTTTTTGCCCAGCTGTCAGACTAGCAATTCAGACTTTGCCTTTTATAATAGCTGGTAACTATTTTCAGGGAGCAGTTAATTCTGACAGTGTTGTACTAGAGCAAAACAGCATAGACTAGTGATGTAACTGTTCCAATCTTTTTCTCATGGCTGGTGTAACTGATTTAAAAAAATGGGCTCTTCCTCTCACTCAACTCTGGTAAATAAACCAATAACTTTATATGATTTATGAGGCAATATTTCCATGCTGAATATCTTACCTTCTAACCTTCAATCAGGGAGCAGATAAAAAAGGGTTTGCCTATTTTAATTAATGTTAGCTGGAAATTAATGGGTAAGACTCATTGCTGCCCTGTAACTTATAGTTATGTTAAAGAACAAATATGAATTAATGCAGTTGCAATACTTTCTAGGTATTTATACACAATTATGAAGGGCACCTTAAAATACTCACTCTGTACTATCATACATATAAGCAACTAGCCCTCACAGGTTAGGTGACCAAAAATGAATGAATAATGAATAGGAAATCAACTACATATAAATCTTACATGGAGCTTGTCAAGAAGGATATACTCATTCACTGAAAAGAGTGTCACTTGGAACAAGGTCATCAGCATTACTTGTACAGGGCTGACTTTCCCCAGAACTCCGCCAAAGGCAATGCACACAGATCCCACACAGAAATCAGCATTGATGAGGCTGAAAGAGATTAATGAAATTAATATCTAAGTGAATGCCTGAAAGCTCGAAGACATTATTAATGCAAAGTATAAGATAATTGGAAGACTTCATTTTAGTAATGCTCAGGACTGCATTTAAGTTATATTATATGGCACATACCGTGTGTGTATGTAGTGATGCCCCCTAGGGAGCCAGTGAGATTAATGGGCCCTTTTAGCCTTTCTACTGGGCTTACTGCTGCCCCAAATGACTTACCAACCCACCAGCATCTGAATGACTGGATTCCACTTGAAGAATTTATCTCAAAGTCCAGGGGAAAGAGGGTTGGGGGGTTACAGGATACTCAAACTGCAGCAATGCCAAATTTCCTCTGCTTGAAAATATCTTCAGTCCCAGTCCCAGGGTAGTGTGCCTTTAGGTCAAGACTGACAATTGTGTGTGTTTAAGGCCCCATGCACACAGATATTAAAATAAAGGATTTCAGGTGTGATTGGAGTTTATTTATTTATGCACACAGAAGCATAGTGTGTAATGCTTTGCTATGGCTGAATACACACCTAGGCATTTCGCAGCATCTAGGTGCATCCAGTCTAGCTGCATTCAGACAACAATAATGTTGTTTTTCCTGGGACCCTTTAGCCTGGTTTTATGTGGCTACACATATGTAAACATGCCTAAATCCAGGAACATCTAAAGACTAGGCAGGTGTGATCCGTTTCATTCCTAATTTAAATTTGGACGAATTTCTGCATATTCAGACATTTAGATGCATCCAAATTTGTCAATGAAAAAAATAACGAATCTGAACGTATCCAAATTGCATCCAAAATGCTTTCTGAATGTCATCCAGAATGAATTTATGTTGTTAAATGTTAAAAATCATTTTTAAAAACAGCGTGGAATCCCCTCCCCAATTTCTGGTAGAAATTTTAGTGGGGACCACAAAGACAAAAAAAAGCATGCTGTCCCCCATCAAATTCCTTACCAGACCCTTGGTCCGAGCAGCAGCCTGGCGGAGCAGGAAGGGGGGACGAGCGAGCACCCCCTCCCCACCTTGCAGCATACCAGGCCACATGCCCTCAACCTTGGGAGGGTGCTTTGCCAGGGGGGACCAGCTGGGAAAGCGCCT